TTAGATCTTTACATTTAGTGCCACTCCTCAAAGCAGCACTATGACAAAGGCTAAAACACTAAAAGTGACCAGTATGTTCCTGGCCAAATATTAGGCTGGGTCTTTCTGTCCTGTGCCTGGAATAAGGTTGCCTCTGATTATGTACACCTAAATTGGAATTTCCTTGCAGAATTCCTATTTTTCTACAGGTCTTTGCTGGTTTGTTTTTGTTTGGGTAGTTTTGCCTGATTGTGACTTTAGCTACCCTTCAGTTATGAGACCGGGCACAAAGCACCACTGTAACCACTGTATAGCTCAGTCTAGTGCATCCTATGACTAGGAAAAAACAGGAGTATTGTCATTTTATTGGATCAAGGGCTAAATTCCTAAAAATTAGGATGTTCTTATTTTTATCAGGTTAACTTGTACCTCTTTTCCAAAGTTTCTCAAGAAGAAAATCATGTTTTAGGGAATCAACGTTTGCTTTTGGGTGTCCTCACAAACTAGGGATAGAGAGAAATTTAGAAAAATCATGATCTTTACAACATGGCAGCGCAACTATTCCCTGGGCTAATTATGTTGAAGGAGGAACGTAATCCACACAGACAACTCCTAATAGTTCTGCAAAGCCTGCTTTTCCTTATACATAAACTCCCCAGAAATGTAATGATGAACCTAAAATAATTACAGGATTTCTTAAGTATCATTTCTCCCACCAGCAATAGATAAGTAGACACAGTTATAGCCTGGATTAGATGGGGATTATAGTTTTCACATTCTTTTTATTTGGTTTTGTTGGAGGTTTTGTTGGTGGTGGAGGGTGACTGTTTTTCTGGACTGGGAGATAGCCTGAAGATAAAAACGGGTTCTGTACCTAGCTCAGCATTCAGACAGCATGCCATCCATTTTTTAGCCTGGTAGGCAGTATGAAAACAAGGTTTATGTAATCACCCCTGTCTCTCTGTCTGTGTCCAAAGTTGCGATAACTTTGAAGGTGTTAACCAGCTTCAGCAGAGTTTGAGAGAGAATAATATTTATACAAATTTCATAAAAAGAGAGAACCAGGCAAAGCAGACACTAGGGATCAAACATTTTTAGCCAGAACAAAACTTCCTAGCCAGTCAGTAAATTTCAACAGATTTCCATTTCTAAAAGTGGCAGCCCACATGTTGCTGCCAAAACGCCCCAGAGGAGAAGATGCTAGGTATATGCAGCTGTAACAGAAAATACTATTATAATTCAGGTAAATAGTCAGCCAACCAAGAGGGAAATCCATATTAAACCAGGCTTCATTACCTTTGGTGTTCACAGAACTAGCAGCTTTTATTTATGAAGGATGAAATAAATGTGGGCAGTCTGAAGTTTCTTCAGATAACCAATGTTAGTGGATTGCTACTCACTGTTGGGTGGAAATTAGAAGTAAATATAATTCTTCACTGATCCTTCTAAGGTCTATGTCTCTTGCAGGTGCTCACAGGGCCTGTGAGGCTTCACACTGGCACAGCTGGCTGCTACAGATTGCTAACTCTAGCCCTTTCAAGGACCTCACTCACTCATCACTCACCCAGCCATAAAATTCAACTTCAAGCCAGATTCATCACTTGGATTTCTTTACTGTTGTACTATCGAAAGTATAAACTGCACCTGGTTAGTGATCTATGAGAACTAGGAGCTCATATTACTTGCAGCTGCCCCATAACTCAGTCCAAAGGTGATGATCTCAGCTTCTCTCTCTCTGCTGTTTCTATTTCATAGGCTCCTACTAGCACTAGTATTGCATACCATCCCTCTGCTATGCATTTCTGAACCGATTTATGTCTGTGTCTGAGCATGCAATCCTCATCTAGACATAATCTATTCAGTTCATGAACCAGCAATATTGGATATTGTGCAGCCTATACCTCCTTACTGCAAAATACCCTTTCCATAATCACAGGAACCGTGTCTTGATGAATCCAAGCTCAGCAGCCCATTTCAGTAACACTTTTAAGCACCTCATCACACATTTAAGCACTTCTAATATGCTTCTAATGGGTACATCTTGTTACTACGTATTTTTCATGTTTTTCAAGCCTGCACAGTCAGTATGACATTTTATATTATTTTTTATTTTCAGTTTACGTTGCATTACTTTAGCTTATAACAAATAAATTCTATTTAAGGTAAGCTTGAGGATTTATGGATGAGCTTGAGGCCACGAATAGGTGAGACAGATCCTTCCAGTGTTTCAATTTCTCTTTCTAAAATGATACCTTTAACACATACTTCCTAAGTGAAATAACACAAAGAAAACAGATATCCAGAGATACATCCTCCTCCATCATGACAGCTAGAAAGAGGAAAAAAACCCAAACAACTCTGTGTCAAAGCTACAGAGGAAAAGCTACGGCAAGTAGTGGGAAGTCTTTAATAGGAAACACCTATTTTGATTACAGTAACACAGAACTATCTCTGAAGCTCATGGTGATTTCAATCGTTGCTTCTATCATGGCAAGGGAAACACTCTCTGGTAACCTTGTAAAATCCTTATCTGCACAGGGCCTTATAGATTAGTTTGAAGGCTAGAAGTATTGGATAAAAACTGCTGCATGATTCTAATTTAATCAAAATCTCTATGCTAGGAATATTTCAATTGAACAGATCTGCATTGAGAGAATTTGTCAGACTGAGTAACTTTGAGTTGCCAGAACTCACCGTGAACTCACAAAGCTGTTCCAAAACTCTTTTTGCTAGAACCTTTTTGGGCATGTCCTCAGTTGTGTGCTGATCCAGGTCAATGTGCCTAGCTGCCATTATTTAAAACAATGTAAAAGGCAAAGACTTAGTGTTCTCCCTTTCTGTTTGGATTATCTGAAAGCTATGACAATTTTTTACACTGTGCTTTGTGCTCCTTTGATCAATATAAAGCTGAGGAAGAACCAAAAACAACAGCTAGTGAAACTAATAGCCAGGCCTGAGACTACAGAATTCACATCATGTGACATTTGATAGTATTCTAAAGCAACATACAAATTCCACATAGGTCCTGAGCGTGCCAAGAATCTGTTCAAGGTATCTTACACACACCGTTTTATAGTTAGGATCCCACACAGTACTGTGGTCAATCTTGCTGCACTGAGAGCTTTGTATAGGCACCTTAGGAACCTTGCACAGTGATGAGCTGAAGATTCATATGAAGGTCTACCAGAGGGAGAAGGTACATGCCAGCTTTTGCCGATACTGCCAGGAGCTTGCTCATGCCTGACTAGAGGAGTAAAGCAGCCAGTGAGCAACATACAGAACTTGAACTGCATAATGAAGGCTAGGGACTATTGCTAGCCAAGACTTCTTAAACTCCCAGAAAACACCAAAAAGTTCCAAGGATAAAGGGAATAAATGTGCTGGTAAAGATATGTGCCTTTTTCTCAGATGCCTTTTTCCTCTGAGCATATGTTTTCATGGGGGAAGGTTATTTTCCATGCTGATCACTTGCTCGACCTGCAGCCAGGTGCTGGGCATGCTGCTGGCAGGGCTGTACTGCAGGTGATCTCACCTCTGCACCAGCTCTGGGTGGCTGCTGGAGGCAGCCTGTCTCCTCCCAGCCTCATGAGCAGCCGGGCACGCTGCCCCAGCCTCGTGATCCCTCCAAACTGCCGTAGGGATCTCACTTACTTCTCCTTTCCTCAAGCCCTGCCCCTGTGCTTGCTCTTTGATATGTAGAGTGAACCACAGGGTTTCATTCCTGATTCATTTCTGCAGCTGGGATGAGGCTCTCCAACCAGGTAGTTTGCCCTGGTCCCCAGCCTCCTTCATCTGAGCTGTGTCCCCTCTGTGCAGTTCTCCACCCTTTGGTGCACCCACATCCCCACAAAGGAGCAGTCTCCTGTGTTGCCATCCCTCTGAGCAGTGGTTTCCACAGACCGGAGGCAGGTACACGAAGAGCAACAATTCCAAGTCATACGCTTCCAGTGCACTTCATTTTGCCCTGGCAAATTGCTCAGCAGACATCTCACTTTCCTGTGCCCTGAATAACCACCAGCTGTACAAGCAGACTTATATAACTTGGCATAGAATCACAGAATCACAAAATCGTTTGGGTTGGAAGGGATGTTAAAGATCATCTAGTTCCACCCAACCTGCCATGGGCAGGGACACCTTCCACTAGCCCAGGTTGCTCAAAGCTCCGTCCAACATGGCCTTGAGCATTGCCAGGGATGGGGCAGCCACAGCATTTCTGGGCAGACTGTTCCACTGCCTCACTACCCTCATAATAAGAAATTTCTTCCAAATATCTAATCTGAACCTATCCTTTGTCAGTTTAAAGCCATTCCCCTTTGTCCTGTCACTATGTGCCCTTGTAAAAAACCCCTCTCCAGATTTCTTGTAGGCCGCCTTTAGGAGGGGATGAGATATAAAACTCAAGAGTTATAAAACAGGATTTTAGTGGTACTGTGCCTCACTTCCTACACCTTCTTTACTGACCTGCCATAGCTTCCCTCGAGCAGCTAGTTTCCCCGGCAGCAGTGTGACGAGTTACATCCTCCTGAGCTATCAAACAGGGAACAGAACGTAACTCATGGTGGTTAGGCGGTACCACGAACAAACTCAGTTGCGGAAAGAAAACCCCGCTTCTTCCCCTGTGACTACCGCAACCCGGAGCTGATGTGCAGGGGCGGGAGAGCTCATACCAGCGGGCAGCGGAGAGAAAAGCTGCGGACAGCGGAACTTAGTGAATGAACCCGCTGCGTGCCCCCCGGCCTTAGCTGCGGGGAGGAGCTGCGCCGCCACCTGATTTCCCCTCCCTTACCCCCTGGGGCCGGGGAGCACCCCAAACCCCTCACCCTGGGCACGGCCTCCCGCTCGCACACTGCTTCTGTGCCATACCCGCTTCAGCACAGCGGGCGCGGCGCAAGCAAGCGGGACAGGGGAACAGCGAGAACCCCGTACCGCATACAGCGGGACCCAACCCCGCCCACTGCCGGCAGCGGCGGGACGCGGCTGGCGCGGGACCGCCTTCTGCCCTGCGCCTGCGCACCCCGCGGATCCGGGCCTTTAACATCAAGGCTGCGGTGTCGTACCGGAGGCTTTCAGTCTCGTCGTTTCCCGGTGCTCGGCTGGCCGCCAGCACCTGCGCTGCAGGTGGGGAAGGCGGCGGCGGCGGGTGGGGGGCCTGGGCTGAGAGCCGGGTCGAGTGCGGCCTGTGGCTGTAAAGCCCTAGCCGAGCCGGGAGCCGGGAGCCGGGTGAGGGCCGCTGTCGCGGAGGTCTGTGGGCTTCAGCGGGGCCTGATCGCGCTCGCGGGAGGCTGCCTTCATTTCTCTGCCCCGAGACCGCCACCCGCCTGCCGGAGCATGGCCCGTCCGGGGCACCGGTAGCGGCGCCGAGCTTGCCGGGCCTTGTTCCACACCCTCCGGTGAAAACTTTGCCGTATTTGCGAAAGCGGCCGTCGCTTCGGCTGGGCATGCGAGGGAGCCCGTACATCTCCGGGGGTTGCTGACTCCTGTATTCTTGGCAGCGCCAGCCTTACCGAGCCGGCCGGGGACCGGGGCCTGAACGGGTCTTGAATGGCAGCGCTGGACGTGCCTCCCCCCCCCCCACCCCCGAGCAAGTTTGTGGCTGCTAAGTCATTGCCTTACCCTGCTGCGTCCTTTGTATTGGAGGAGCTGGTGAGGTTCGTGATTGAGACGCAGCTGGTGGGGAGAAGATGGTTGCAGTTTGCGACTCGTGACAGCATAGAAGTTGTCACGTACAAAGCAGATATATTAGAGCTCTTACTGTTCAGTACGTAAGTGCTGGATAAAAGAGCAAAGTGTTCTTGAGATTTGGTAATCTGTAATAAGGTTTAGTGCTTGATTGGGAGGGGAAGCATGTTGGAGGAACACCTTTCACTTGAAGGTGGCTAAATAGTTCTATTTGTGAATTGAGATGTTTCTCCTAAGTTTCTGGCAGTAGAACAGCACTATTCTAATTACTGAAGGTCAGGTACAGTTGATATTGGAGGCTATACTTGTATTAGTATTTTAATTCAAATAAAGGCTGTACTCTTGAAATGAGTTCCTAGTCATCCTTGCTTGCTGCATTTTCGTTGACATCCCAGTGTGATCTGGGAGAGTGCAAGCTCTTACCCTTTTGGAAGAGCCTAAAACTAGAAGGTGCACTTCAATTATGAGTGGGTGTTGTCAGTTATAGACAAGGGTATAGACAAGAGCTAGTATGAAATACAGTGTGGATGTTGAATCCTCAGTATTCATAGAATCATAGAATGGTTAGGGTTGGACAGGACCTTAAAATTAGCTAGTTCCAACCCCCTTGCTATGGGCAGGGGACACCTCGCACTAGACCATGTTGCCCAAGGCCATGTCCAGCCTGGCCTTGAACACTGTCAGGGATGGAGCATTTACTGCTTCTTTGGGCAGCCTGTGCCAGTGCCTCACTACCCTCACAGTAAAGGACTTACTTCTACAGAGTTGCTGCTTTTTCTGTATATAGTTGTTAATGTAGGCATAGCCTGAGCATATCAGTAGAGCAGGTAAGGTGAATACAGTTGTAGCTCAACAGGACTGGGGATTGATCCCTAAGCTTTCAGAGATATAACTGTGACAGCTATTGCCTAAGCTGCAAGAGTCAAAGTTTCATAGCTTAAAGGCTGTAGGTCAGCTACAAGGAGAACAGTAAGCAGAAACCCCATGTGGAATAATTGTCAATGCTGTCAACAGCCTTTCAGAAAATGTTTTTCAGTAGCTCAATAACTATAGTTTTCAGTTCAACCATTTCTGTTACTGAATGGCTCCTGACCTTAAGATGTTTAAAAAGTGCTGTAGAGGCATAAGGACAAATAGTTTTTCTTCTTGTAAGTGTTTCATAACTTATATTAAGAAAATAATGCTGCATGTTTGCTGGAACAGTAACTGTGACTTGTTGGCATTTTTTCCTTACTTTTCCTGTCTTAGATTCACCTAGCCTTTGTGGCAATATAATGAATTATTGTTGTACTTGTGTTACCGTCACTGTACCTGAGATCTTTCTGTTCTATCTTGAGTGGTTGGTTTAAAATATTCTGTCTTGTTTTGCTCTTTTGGTCTTCCACTTAGGACTTCCTTTCTTGATGAACCAGCATGATAATAGCTAGCAGCTGCTCTAAAAATGCCAGTTACAATGAAAAAAAAAGTTTTGCATACTCTTTTTAAATCATCCTATTCCCCAAGACGTGGGTGAATGGAGCGGCTGGGTGTTAAGTTAAAATGGGTTCTGGGGATAAACAGGAGACCTGATTGCTGCTGCTTTATTTTTATCAACTTTGAATTTATTTTCCACCTGTTGCAATTTAGAAAAATTAGAAGGGTTTCTACTTGCATCACTTGATTACAGCCTTTAGTTTCATGTGTTCTGTGTTTTAAGGTAGCTTCAATGTCATGGCTGAAAAACTACAGTAAGGAGAATACTTGAAAATTTATGTAGGTTGCAAAAATGCTTTTGTGGTTAATACTGTTTTGGTTTTTTTTCGTTTTGTTCTTTTTTTTAAGAAGCCTTTAGAATGGCAGCACATTGCCAGCAGCTGTGTTAAAATAATTCCCATTTTTCCCTTGACTGTCCTGTATCAGTCCTCATTTAGGTTAAAGGGATCATCACTTCAAACACCTGAAGATCTGTATTTCTAGCTTGGAAACTAGTAGCTGATCCCATGTTCTGAAGACGAGTCCAGCTTGAAAAGCTCATTTGACTTGGGTAGTGTGTGTAGAATCCACTGAAAATTGCAAACTTGCTTTCTACAGCTGTGTCTTGAAATCTTTTTTTTTTTTATACAAAGATTGTATATTGTGAAAGTCTGTACAATAACAATCCTTTGAAAAGCACAGCTAGACTGTTGCAACCTTTGCCACCATTGTACTGTTCTAACTTAAATGCCTCTTGTTGACCTCTCTCCAACCTGTACATATTGAAGTATCTGAGCAAATCTCCCAGTTAGTTAAGGTTCTTGCAACTTGGGGTTGACTCCAGCTTGACAGGGCCTTAGCAATTTGCAGGTCTTAAGGAGTCTGAACAGAGGGCAACAGGAGTCTTGTTGAAGTGATGGCCATTGACTGACAGTTACCTAATGCAGAGGAATAAGTGCAAGCCAAGTTTGTTCTTCCTGAAAACTTTCTTCTGGGTTTTATTTTAGATATGGGAAAATCACTTTCTCACTTGCCTATGCACACATGCAAGGAAGATAGCTGCAATGGAACCGCAGTGTCTGATAGTATGAGGAATGGATTAGTTAACTCAGAATCACACAACGAAGACAGCAGATGTGGAGATGTGTCGCAGTTTCCCTATGTGGAATTTACAGGAAGAGACAGTGTTACTTGCCCAACTTGCCAGGGAACAGGAAGAATTCCACGAGGTGAGTTTTCTTTATTTCTTTTTGTAACCTATACATTACTTCATAACCATGTGCTATTGAAACTGTAATAATCCACAACAAATTACTCTCCTACTTAAAATGACGTTTTTCGTCTTTTTGCCTTTGTAGCTCTTAAGCATTTTGTTATGATTGCACTAAATGAACAAAAGAAATTGAATCAGCTTTGGCTGTTACTTGTTGGGTTTTCCTTTGTCTGTACAATGCTGGTGTGTTCTTTGCTTCTCAGCTTTTAATTTGCGTGTAACCCTAGCTCTTGCAAGTTGAATTTGGAAACCTTGATTTTTGTGACTTTTATTACATCTTTTTTTTAACTGCCTATTTTAAGCTATTTGAATCAATTTATAATTCTGCAAAAATAGCTGCAAATGCAGAGAGTTAAAAGAAGGCCTGTGCTACAACACCATTTCCCTCATTTATAGTGAATTTTCTTGCCCTCACTGCTGCCAGGGCCCGTCAGTTTCCTTTACTCACTTGGTCCTGTCTGTCCCTGCTAGGCAAAGGACCCCAGCTGGGTGTTGAAAATACAAAGGATCTCTGGTGGCCCTGGGAGGTAGTAGGCTGCACAGTATTAGTCTTCATGCCTGTTTTGTTTCCCAGCTGCCCTCATCCTTTGCTTTTCCTGTTAATAAAATATGTTCTGCTTTATTTGTGCTTCTCTTCTATACAGTAAGCCACCAGAACAGCTATTTAGGAAGATACCATTGAAAGCAGGATAGCTGAACTGGGCAAAAGGAGAGTGGCAAATGTAGTGTGGCGAGGCACTCTACATGTGCCAGCCTGCTTCAGCTGTAAGATCTTCCCTTTGATGGCAAGAAAGAACTGATGAGAAGGTTTCATGCGTGGAGCTGCTTTGCTTTTGGCAGAACTCTTACCTGAAATAGATTATTCAGTGTAAAAGCTCTCAGAACTGATTTTTGACCAGTAGCTTAGGAAAATTGACTGTGCTGTGTTGTCCTTGTACATGTGCTTCAGTCAAGTCAGATTCTGGTATAGTTCACAAATACTTCTGTCTTGTGTGTGAATAAGTGCCAGCAAGCACATGATATTTAAACAGTTGTAAATACCATAAGGGGCTTGTAGTTTAGCTGTTAAAATTCATACTATCATGCATTCATTCTTTGAGTACCTCTGAATTTGGCAAATTTGAAATGTGAAAAAACTAACAACTAAAGATTATAACTGAAAGACTGTAGAGAAGGAAGTTTGTTCTATTAGCTTTCTAATGTAAAATACTTAGTATCAATAGCAATCATACTCAAAATAGTGCTAACTAAAATGCAGTAATAGCAGGATTCCTGTGTTCAGAAGCTTATTTCTTTGACTGTAGGATTCTTGAATGTAATACCTAAACAAATGTGAGATAATATCAAATATTTTTCAGTAACTATTAAAAATGCATGTTGCCTGTACATTCTAATGAAAAAATGTGGTTAAAGTTAGACCTTTAAATGAATTATTAGAGCAGACAGGGCTGTCTTTTTAATTATTCCTCATATTTTATGAAAAAAATATTTGGATTTTTTGGAGAGAGGAAAATTAAATTTGCTGCATGACTAGTAAGGAAGACTAACACCTGAGATGAGGCTGCCTTGTTCTGTTACTTGGACAGCTTTAGGTTTTCACCATGACAGACTATGTGAGTGGGAGTGTGCAGTCTTATTCAAAGCTTGAAGATGCTTTGTTGAAGCTGAGATGAAAATCTTTTTTAAATTGGTAGTGGCTTTTTAGAAGGTTGATATTACATACTACTACTGACTTAGCATGCTTTGCTCAGCTTAGTGATTCAGTATGGAATCACTTGAAAGTGGTTGATTAGCTAAGTGATAATGCGGTCAAATGCTGTATTTGGCTTAAAAAATGCAAGTATGACTTGGTTTTAGAATCACAGAATGGTTTGGGTTGGAAAGGACATCTAGTTCCAGTCCCCCTGCCATGGGCAGGGTCACCTCCCACTAGACCATGTTGCCCAAGGTGCTGTCTAACCTGGCCTTGAGCCCTGCCAGGAATGGAGCATTTACTACTTTGGGCAACCTGTTCTAGTGCCTGACCACCCTGTTTAAGTTTAAACCGCTTGTCCTGTTGCTACAGGCCCTGATGGAAAGTCTCTCCCTGGGCCCTTGTAGACCCCCTTCAGATGATGGAAGGCTGCTGTGAGGACTCCATGCAGCCTTCTCTTCTCCAGGCTGAACAACCCCAACTTTCTCAGCCTGCCTTTGTATAAAGGGGCTGGGAGCCCCTCTCATCATCCTCGTGGTCCACCTCTGAACTTGCTCCAACATCTCCATTTCCTTCTTATTTTTAGGATGCCAGAAATGTACACAGTACTCCAAGTGGGGTCTCACAAGAGCAGAGTAGAGGGGCAGGATCACCTCCTTCGACCTGCTGGTCACGCTCCTTTTGATGCAGCCCAGGATATGGTGGCTTTCTGGGCTGCAAGTGCACACTGAAGCCGGATCATGTTCAGTTTCTTGTCAAACAACACCCCTAAGCCCTTCTCTGCAGGGCTGCTCTGCATCTCTTCTCTGCCCAGCCTGTAGCTGTGCGTGGGATTGCTCCAACCCAGATGGAGGACCTTGCACTTTGTTTTCTTGCACTTTATAAGGTTGGCATCGTCCCACCTCACAAGCGTGTCAAGGTCCCTCTGGATGGCATTCCTTCCCTTCAGAGTATCAACTGAACCACACAGCTTGGTGTCATTGGCAAACTTGCTGATGCATTCAATCCCACTGTCATGTCGCTGACAAGGATGTTGAACAGGATCAGTCGCAAACCTTTTTGTTGAGGCCTTTCTTCTTCAATGGATGAATCTCGGTTCCATGTTCTTGTACAACAGATAGAAAAAAGCTATACAGGCAGATGTAGTCCATGTATTTTCAACAACTCATCTGTGCTTCTGTTCTTAATTTCTGCTATTGAGATAGCCCCCTCTTAAAAATGCTGTCTTATGAAGTACCTAGTTGCTTGGACAAATTCCAGTAGATACTTTTAGATCCTTTTTTGACTTCCAGGGTGCTGCAGCTCAGTCCCATGAGAAATGGCTGTATACCAGTGATTTCCAGAATGCAGTGTATGTATTGCTTGTGTTACCAAAGTCACCCAAATTGATACTTCTTTCTTTTAAACAAACTTGACCTCTGCTTTTCAGAAAAGTACATGCAGAGTGCCTTCTAGATCTGTTCCTACTGCCTGAGCTTGTGTTTTGTCCTATGACTTTATATGGTATGGCAGAGAGAGCTGGAAGCTGTTCCTCTTGAGGAAGTGGTGCCAGAGACGTGCTGCCTCCTGTGCATGTATGCAGCACAGGGGCAGAATTTGTTGCAGTTTTGGTCTTTGTGGGCTTGGGGTTTTTTTTCTTCCTTCTTGTGTAAGCCATGCTCTATTTTGGAAAGTGACATAATACAGTAGTATTCTACTTGGGTCATTTTTTGGAATGTAAATATTTATCTTTAATGTTTACTCTTTGGTGCCATTAAGTCCTAATGAGCACTCTGAAGTAGCTGCAACAACATTTGTTCTTTGCTTGTTTAAATTCTGAAAGAGTGTTTTTGTTTCCAGGACAGGAAAATCAGCTGGTAGCATTAATTCCATATAGTGATCAGAGACTGAGGCCAAGGAGAACGTAAGTCAATAGTTAGTTGTGATACATGAATCTACAGTTTAATTCTTCTAGTTAAAATTCAGCAAATTAAAAAAAGAGTGATAAGAAGAATCAAGCAAAAATCATTGGAATGTTTATTTGCCTGCAGTACTGAAAGAACCCTGCTTGTGAGTACTATCAACCTTAACTTCTAACCCTTGGAGAGTTATTTATTAACAGGTATGCATACTACTGGTGTGCATACTCCCATGAGTGTGTCTTACAAAGCTAAGTATGCTGTATGATCTCTTCATGTAAATACTTATCTGAATGTTTACAGTAGGTAAGTATTCAGTCTTTGTAGCATCTTAATTATCTGAGCAGATACATCTTCAGTGTTAAAAGTCTTGAGTAAATTGATAACTTCCTTGATAACTACAGAATAAGTCACCTGGAAATTAATTTGTAAAGCTCTGAGCAGCTAACAAAATAAAAAAAAAATCATCATTCTATTACAGCATATTTAATATTTTTTTACTAGGCTCTACTTAAAGGTTTCATTGAAGTGCTCAGGGCTTCTTGTTCTGATACTTTCTATTTGTTTGGGGTTTTTTTACCTTTAATATTTGTATGTTTCTGTAGTAAACAGAAATGATTGCCAGTAACTTGTAATACTGTCGTGGATAATATATCTGATGCTCTACTTGTACAAATTTGAGACCTGTTGCTTGTAGTGCTCTAATTTTGTGAAAACTGGAGCTGCAGTGGAGTCTTTTGCCTATGTATTTTCTTATTACACAAACACACCTTTAACACTAGGTTAATTATGAATTTCCTGTTCCTTAGCAGGAGTCTGACATTTTCCTGACAGTCTTATATGTCAAAGAATTGCATATAAGATGTATAAGAGCTTTATTCGTAAGAGTCCTGCAGAATGGCAACAGTTCTGCTATAAACAGATTTTAAGAGGAAGTGCTTATGTTTCAAAGTACATAAATATTTACCTCTTCTGTTTTCCTCCAAGTTACAAATGTTGGGATAACCACAAGTTTTCAAACTTGATTCCTGATGTATATGCAAAAGGAGTATCTCGGACATAGACGTGAAGTGCAGCATAATGTTTTTTTTTTCCCTCTTGAGCACTAGTGGAAGTTAGAGATAGGGAGCATGACTGGTCAATATAACTAATTTAATCTATCGCTTAAAAGAAAAGAAAATGACATTATTGTTTAATATGCTTTTGACTCGGAAATGTGTTCTTTTTTCCCTCTAGAAAGCTCTATGTGACTGCGTCTGTAATTGTATGTTTACTACTTTCTGGGCTGGCTGTATTCTTCTTGTTTCCTCGCTCAATTGACGTTGAATACATTGGTGTGAAGTCAGTTTACGTCAGTTATGAGCGGAGTAGTCGTATAATATATCTCAATATCACGGTAAGTCTAGCTGTCTGTTTGGATGTTTGTAATGGGCAAGTGCGACAAGAAATACTACTGCAACAGTGTAATATGCAAAAAAATTGTGGTCTAGCTGGTAAGCCTAGTTAGTACTTAAGAAATACAAGCAGATATAATGACCAGCTGAAAGAATGTAACTGGACCTGCTGTGGCTGGCTCCTGCAGCTATAGCTAATAGAGCCGAGTTGCAAGCTACCACTGGGTCTTCTATTTTCATGGGAACAGTGAATTTGAAGTTCTCTGAATTATTTTTGGAATATGAGTGAAATTTAATGTGTGTATGTGGGGATGTTATTAAGTGCTGTCCAGGTACTGTGCTTCTGTCAAAACTGGTTTTGAGGGAAAATTACTTTTTTATTCACCTTAAAACTTTAAAGTAATTTTTTCTATATGTTGCTTGACTTCTTGGTAATGCAGTCAATACAGAAAACCTAAAGACATTTGGTAGACTTCCTCATGCTAAATAAAGCAAGGCAGCCATGGGAGAAGATGGTCCTGTGATAGCTAAATTTCCCGAAAGCAGTAGTTGAGGATAGGAAGAACTGCGTTCTTTGCAGTGGAGGGTAGTCACCAGGAAAGTTGTACAGAAGTTTGTGCAGCTCAAGATATTCACAAAAGAAAAACCAGAAAGAGGTCAAGTGATTATGTCCTGTGTCATCGTGTTCCCCTCCGCCTCCAACCCCCAGTCCTAGAAGGTAGGAATATACTTGCACAATTTCAGGTATTACTGTCTCAAGCACAAACTTCAAAATGTGTGCTCATCAAGAGACACAGAATGGATAGCTGTTAGTGTTTTATATTTGTTTCGCTTGTTTTTCAGAGCACACTAAATATAACAAATAACAACTATTATTCTGTTGAAGTGGCGAATATCACAGCTCAAGTTCAGTTTTCAAAAACAGTTATTGGCAAAGCACGGCTAAACAACATCACCAACATTGGTCCTCTGGATATGAAACAGGTAAATAGGATAGGCTTTCAAAGTTGAGTACATGTTAATCTTCATATATAAATACACTCATTGTGCTTTTGTTGCTTTTTTTGTTCTTTTCTTTTTAGATTGACTATATGGTGCCCACAGTTATACAAGATGAAATGAGCTATATGTTGTAAGTGTACTCGCCTCTAAATATCACATGGGTCTGATTAAAAATTACAGTGGTGGTAAACCAAATTTTTTTTTGAAGTCAGCAGAAATATATTCATAGAGCTGTGTCATTTTCTTTGTGTGAGTTTCTTAGTAGTTGAAAAATAGTTAAAACATGCTTTTGATGCAACAATGCATTTAAATTTATCATGGTCAATACTGTGGCCTTAATTTCAGTAATGCTGTTGAGAGTCTGTTCCCAACACTAGCTGCAGCTTCTGCCTGAAAGGTGACTAACCTTAGGAAAACCTGAGTGACTTGGATATGTAGAGAGGTGCAAACAGGCAAGAGCTGTTCTGCCTATGACCTGCATTGAATGGATTTCAGGCTCTTGTGTTATAGCTGCAGCCTTGTTAGTAGTGTGGAATAATGATGTGCTTGCTGGTTCAGCTCAGATGTGGATGGTGAATTCTTGGAATAGAAGCAGAGAAACTGTCATGTGTCAGTGCCAGTAGTCTGCCCTGGAGACAGCAAGTGAGCTTCCTTACTTTGAACACCCAACTGATGCAGCTTGACCTGGTCTTAGTGGGGTTTTGTATTTTTCACTGTGTTTGGGTTTTTTCTCCACACAAAAATATTAACCTTAACAGTGATTGCTGTGGTATAATCTTTCTAACACAGGGAGTATTAGTATTGTGGGTTGTAGCATGAGAGATTGTACAGTATCACACTTCAGTGTTTCCCCAGCTAGTCGATTTAGGTCTTAGTTAGGCATTAACTAGTGAGTTGTTTGGATTCTGGAGCATACATGTCCCATAAAATCAGCTTAGGTTGAATACAGGAAATCTTGGAGTCCTGAAGTATCTGCATACAATCATGTGGATTCAGCAGACCTGTATGACGAAATCAGCACCATACAAGGCATTTCCACACATTTATTTTGGAGAGCCGGCTCAACGTGGAGTTCAACTTCAGTGTAATTTCCTGGCTACTGTATTCTGGTTTGTGCTGTGGTGTGTTTTGGGGTTGGGATTTTTCATTTTGGTTTTTTGGTTTGTGGGTTTAGGTTGTGGGGTTTTGGTTCTGTTTTTTTTTTTAAATCAGAGTATTGGGAAATCAACCTGCTTGGAAAAAAAGTGTGTTGGTGCTGTACCTCTGCTTATCAGCTCGTATGTGCTGTTGGATATGAGCTGTCTTTCTATTATGTCACAAGTTGTCTGTATTTTGGATTAAAGCATGTTCAGGTTAACTTCAGTTAGATTCTGAAAGGTGGAGTGAACTATGTTTCACAGGACACTTGTGCTGGCAAGCATTACATGTAAGCAAACACATGGGAAAACAGATCATGTGAAAGCAACACTATGTATATAAAAGTAAACCTAGGTGAACATACAGTCAGTGGCAGTGTTTTTCAACAAGTGTTTTTGTTGTCATTGCTAGCAACTCTGTAGTCTCTATATACATAGGTAGCAGAATTTCCAGTTGAAGACACGGTTCTTACTTTTCAGATAATTACCTGTAAAAGCTTGATGCAAATCTAACAATTGTTTTTCTTTTTTGCAGTGACTTCTGTACTTTAGCATATATCAAAGTGCATAACATAGTAGTGATGATGCAGTAAGTATGGGAATTTTGTTGGAAACAATTTTAAAAAACATGTAATTCTAATTGAAATATTACTCAAATACACAATCCTGGCACCTGTGCATCTTAGAAAATGAAATCATCTTGCTTTCTGCTGTAGTAGTTTCATAGTTATTGAAACTGAACTGTGTCTTTGGACAGGTTCTGGTGGTGTAAAGACACTTGAATAGGCAGAGTTGTTATTACTGTATCTGCTCTGCAGCTTGGCCATAGCCATGGCTGTACTAAGGTCTCAGATACACAAACTAATTTCAAAGTATCAGCCACTGTTCAAAAGTTGCTGAGATCTTCATGAAGCATTACCATCTTCCAGGAGGGGAAAGGGTAGGAAGTCTGTGCTCGGAGAACTAAATGTCTTACATGGACAAAATCTGTTGTGGTAAACTGGTAAGCTAGTATTGGTTTTAAGTTTATTTAAAACTTATGTTTTTCCAAGACATTTCCCTTGAAAACCCTAATAATGTAAAAATGTTGATCATTAAAAGAGGAAACTCAAGCCTTTTACAGAAAACTTTCTTCTTTTTGTCTCTTTTTTTTTTTTTTTCCAAAGAGTGACAGTGACATCCTCTTACTTTGGCCACTCTGAGCAGACATCCCAGGAGAGATACCAGTATGTGGACTGTGGAGGAAACACAACCTACCAGCTGGGCCAGTCAGAATATTTAAATGTGCTTCAGCCTCCACAGTAAAAGCACCTGTTGGTTAGTGTGGAATGACTGCTGATCCTTGTAGAGATCCTTTGAGTAGGACTGGTACTACCTGAAGAGGAGGATATATGCATGCGAAGCATAGCGAACATGATGACCTGATCACTTTAGATGCCAGGAGGGAAAAGGTGCAAAATGTACATAGATGCACTTGTTAAATGTTGTGTTTTCCCCTTCTGTTTGCTTTCTATTACTGCAAGCACTTCTGTCATGTGGTGGGACGGAGAAGGGGAATATCAGATTCTTGAATTGAATTGGGACCTTTCCTTACAGTGCGGTACATCAACTTACAGTGACCGTGTGTGTCTGTGTTTAGGTGAAATGTGTCACTAATGAGCATTTTAGAAAAATTGATACTCATAAATTTTAAGTTCATACTTAAGTTCTTGATATTTGACTATTGAAACTGGCAGTATTACTACTTAAGTAACAAGATTACTTTGAGGTATCTGACTGTTAGACTTCTGTTAGTAACCCAGTGGTGATAGTTCTTTATTTTGGGGTTCTACTTTTTCTTTGCTATACATGATTAGAGGTGACATGCAGTCCATGAAAGCCAGGAAAGCTCTCTTGGATGACACTATACCTGAATGTGCAACTTCCAGAATCTGGCATCATTTCATTTGTATTCCCTCCTGCTACCTCTGGGACGTTATAAGGAGAATGTATGTTGTTAGATTTAAAGTTGAGTTTAAAAACAAAACAAAAACCAACCTCCCAAAGTCATTACCGACAAAGGAAAAATTCCAGACTGTAGTAAATGAATGAGTGAAAACTTAGTGTCTTTCTACTTTGATTTTTAGTAAACTTCTGAGTTTCAGCTGTTGATTTAAAAATCAAGATTGTACAGTTGGAACTAGGGGGCATACTGTTTGAGCACGGGTTTGGGCAGCTTGTAAATTTTCCTAAGTTTTATTGGTTTAATATACTATGTATCTAAGCTACTTGTGTTAATATGTTTGGGTGTGCATATTTAGTGCACAAGCTCAGCAGGCAATGCAGTAGCCACCTGAATCTCCAGAGCACTCAAAATTCACATCAAAGTTCTGTAAGGGAGAGTAAAGCAATTCTTTCTGTAAATGTAAATGCTGATGTAATCATGAGACTGACTTAAAACAAAGCTATGAAATCATTTCAGTAGGATAGTTTGCACAATGAGAAATTCTGGGGTTATTATCAAATGTGGTGATTGTAAATATGGGGTCCAAAGTTGCTTGACTTCTTAAGACTGACTATTGTAAGGGTCAGGTACAAAACTTTTTAATTAACTAGATCAGAACTGTTTTATTTCTAAATCAGATGAGATGCAGCTGTAAGAAGGTACTATTGAGACTGTTGTATTGTAATGAATAATTTTTTTTTAAGTAGGTGGTGTGGTTTTTACGTTGCCCATCTCCTGGAAATAAGCTGTATAAGATGAATTAGTAAACACTATGGGAAAAGGCTGCTGAATAACTTCTTGCAACTAACAATCTGTTACGCTTCAGTACTTCAGTGAAGGCACATGTCTTTATTACTCTTTTTTTTTTCTTCACTGGCCTTTCCTTTGTGGACCTAATTGGGTGGGTGGGGAAGAGAATTTTGATGATGTAATTTTTGATTTAAAAGAAATTAGGTAACCATACAAAAAAACCCTCCTCTGTTGGAATTCCTTTGAGCACTTATTCCAAATGTCTATTAAAGATTTTGGAACCCAACCTGTCAGTTTCATATAATTGTTAATAACATGAAGATGCCAGCTTTTGTTGTTGAAGTGGAACTGGAATGTCAATTCTGATTACTTATTGTGGTTATGTTCTGAAAACTATTGTTGAATCTGCATACTTAAAAGGAAGCATTCCTTATTACAGCTTATAGTCATAAAGGGAAGTAGTTCACTGCTGACTCTAGTCTTCCTAGAGTATAGATGAGGTTCAGTCTTGTGGCTGATAAAAATGCACGCAGAACCTTCTCTGTTCATCTGAAAAGATACAGGTGATAACTAAAGACCAGGATAGTGGGGAACTGGCTAGAAGCAGAGAGGTAAACTCTTCTGTTATCTGCTGTAAAAAGATATGCTTATAATGAAGATTAGGGAAAGAATTCTGATTTAGATCATGTCAGATCCGAAGATAGCCAGTAAGTGATACAGTTTTGGGGGTTGTTTTTTGTCTCTTGGCCTAAGTATTTACACCTAGAGTTTGGGTTTGTTTGCGGGTGGTTTTTGGGGGGGTTTGGTGGGTTGTTTTTGTTTGTTCAGTTGGTTTTTTTAATAGGAAAATATGAAAACAGGTTTAGGTGGATACTTTCAACTATTTTTTCTTCAAAGGATAAGAGGTGATCCAAAATAACTGGAATAGCACAATGATAAATTATTTGGTGACAGTAATGAATGCTGCTAGAACAAGCATGGTAGGGGGGAGGTTACATTATTTATGCAGTGTTCAGATTCAAACTGGTCTTTGAAAGTTTGGCAGACATGCTGAACAAAATACATAAATCTGTGACTCTTATGTTGCATTAAATCATTGGTATTGGCTAATTTAAAATTAAGAATTATGAGTTACTCTTCCCATGTATATGGCGGAAGGGGAAGATACAACTATCAATGTCTGTCATCTGGGATATCTAATGGATATAAACTTTAACACCATTAGTTTGTGGTAGACATACTGAATGTGACTGAGCTCTTATCTTAAAGGGTAGGTAAAGATCTTATTGATGAATCCTCAAATTAAGTCAGTTACAGGAGAATCAAAGGCTGAAGGTTCCGCATATGCTAGTATGTCCTTGAAAATGTGTCAGCATGTTACTAACCAAACAAGACGGGTATTTGAATTTAACTGCTTTTAATATAACATCTCATCAGGTAAGGATCTTTTTGAGTAATTAACTTAGGCTTAATTTTTTTCTGTAACTGAACTTGGAAACATGCTAAGGAAGTAACAGAAGTCAGTATTAACTTGTGTAACTTTGTAAATCAGCCATGAGAATAGATCCAAGTGACAGACCTGTAATTATATCGCATCTATTTATCTTGATTTTAAAATTAAAAAGGCAAGCCTTTCAGCTGCCTGTAAATCAGTAAGTACAGATTCTCTCCAGAAGGTCAGCTTGACGAATCATAACTTTCTTTTTGTTTTCCTGTGTATAAGATGGTTTCTGAAGGACTTCTGAAGTGATTTGTATTTCACTTGTAACTTCCCTGTAACCTTAGAATGCTATCAAATACATGCATACTGCCATTGTAGTGTTGTGTTCCAAGGGATTTATTTCTAGTATGATTCTTTTCATTTGAATTCCCCTGCTAAAACCTTGCACTTTAAAGTGGAAGCTCTGTTATTTATATCTTCAAATAGTGGTCCAGAAGTTGCAGTGTAATGGTACCATTGAAAACCAAAATTTAATGTATTCTGTATAGAGTAACTGTAAAACTTCAAAATTATAACTGAAGGTAACTTAATATTGAACACGTAAATGTGTAAAAATGTTGGTTATCTGGCCACTCTCCATGCCCTGGAGAACAAAATGATTTTGCATTTTAAATATGATGCTTTAAATATGAATGAATGAATAAAAGGCACCAAACAAAAGATCTAACCATCAAGTACCACTTGGAGAGATGTAAAGGCAGGCTCTGTTACTAAAAGATATAGTACCTGACACTTTTTAATTCCTGGTGTGGGAAAGAGCCTGTGGAAGCTTATTTATGATTTGTTTCCTCATCTTGATAGAGGATAATTACTTAATCTTGTGTGAAGACAAGCACAAGTGTCTTGTGTGGTATAGCTCTGAAGTTTTTAATGCACTTCTGATGTCTGCATGACCTTGATACTAACATTATGGTGTTTATATTTTGCAGCCTTATGTTGGCAGGCTTAAGTACATGCCTTAGTTGTCTTTGCCCTGGATTGTCATTGAAGTTCTAAAAGTGAATAAATGTTTTCATAGCAGTATATTGCAGAAATGGCTGGGCTTTTCAGTGTGTGGTATATAAAGGTAACCGTTTCAGCTCAGAATCTAAAGTCCTTGAATTGAACTGTTAGCGTCTTTTAACCATCTGACCGAAGTGCTGTGCCTCCTTCATGAGGGTGCTTGGAGTACTGTGAGTATGAGAGGAATATCTAGATTCAGAAAATCTTAAAAATAGTGTTGTTATGCAGCATTTAAGGCCTTTTTCGTTTGTTTGGTTTTCAGTGGTGATTTAGTTGTGGTTTTGCTTTTCTTCCCACCCCTTGAACCTCTAGTGGGCTCTCTGTTCCCAAACAGCATCTTCTGAAACACATGACTTGTTTCAGGGTTGGATAGCTACATGAAGCTTAACATCCATTGGACTGGACTTCAGAAGTTATGAGATAAGTAACACTAGCAGTCATACATCTAAGAACTAATTTTTTTACTTGCCTAACAAATGCCACAACCCATGCAATGCTTCCAGTTTTACTGTTAATTCTGAAAGGGAGGAATAAGTAATGTAAGTGCAACCAATGAACTTCAATAATGGACTACTTGCAACCAGCAAAATATTTGTTAGTGTTTGCTCTGATCATGCCAAAAAAAATTAGACTTTTTTTTTGGGGGGGGGGGGGGGGGGATGAAGTAATAAAACTGAAGTCAAAACCCACACAAAATGTGTTGAAAACAGTAATTTGGGTATGGCAAAAACATCCAGTGTACATCTACTTGAGAAGTCACCTTCATGCTTTTAGCTGGAGACTTCTCATCATTACTAGAGGGGTAGTTTGGAGTAGTTGATTCTGCTGCCCTACAGCTTTTGCCATATTGCTTTTCTACCCCTAGGCAGGCCTGTTGGACAGGAACAGTTGTCTGCAAGGAATCTATACAAATTCAAGCCAGTGTTGGGTCCCCCAGTGCAGTGTGAGACTGTTTGGTGGCAGTAACATACTAATCCTCATACTGTCCTCTTCCACCAGCCATCATATGGGTCTTACCACCTGGATGCATACAGTCTTTTGGTATTGAAACTGCTTTTGCTTTGCATGGGGAAGGGGTAATTAGTGCCAGTCATGCAAGTAGATTATGGTGCCTGAATATTTTGGGCCTAACCGTCAGTGATTTAGTTTGGGTTTTTTGTTTAAGGAAGCAAACTTAACCACTGTCAACGTCCACTGTACAGAGTGTCCATATAATTGCTTGAGATATGTATAGAAATACTAATGAGTGATAACTATTTTTGTAACTTGATTGTAAACTGTTGTAATTGTGTAACAAAACATCTCTTAACTTAAGCATGATTAAGTCAAGGGGTATTTTGGAATGACTTGTAGGATATGAGCTAGCTTAATGTAAGTTAACTGGGACAAGGGGTCTTGTTAGAGGTTCAAAATCTGGAGTTAATTTCATTATGAATATATATTTCTAGACATGGGTGACTCAAGAATGATATTAAATTTTCTATCAAAAAAAGCTTGGGTTGTGGTCGTTTGGTTTTTTGGTGTTGGTTTTGGTTTTGGGTTGTTTTTTTTTTTGGCATTCCATGATGTGAAAACTTTGCACTTTTTTTCTTTTTTTTTTTTTTATGCTATGCTTTTTGTGTTAAGCCTGTAATAAACTCCAGTATCTGAAAGCTAAGCACCACCTGCCACCTGTGAATAAATTGCTGTTGTTTGTCTGGACTACTACAGTAACTGAATTAAAACCCCCCGACTGGTGTGGTGGGTTGACCCACAGCCAGCAGGTGAGACACCATCCACCCCCCCCAGTTGCTCAGACACTCATCCCCTGGTAGGATGATGGATCAGGGTACAGACAATTTAACAGGGGAAGCAGAGCTGTGTGCTCAAGCAAGGCAAAATATGAAGTTTATTTCCTGTCAGCAGGCAGTTGTTTACTACAGGAAGACAAATGCCATAACGGTGAATGTCTCTCCATCCTCCTTTCCCTGAGCTTTTATTGCTGAGCATTGTCCCATATGGAGTATCCCTTTGGTCATCTAGGGGCCTAGCCTCTTGACCATCCCCAGCCTATTCACTGCAGAGTTGTGGGAGTAAAAGAGGAGGAAACAATAAGAAAGGAAACCGAGGTGCTGTATGAGCACTGCTCAGCATGAGCCAAAACACCAGTGCGTTATCAGTGCAACAGAATCAAGAGACCTGGTAATGTCAGAAACCTCTGAAACATTTCAAAGCTCTCCCTGGCAGGCTGTGGGTTGCTTTCCTTTTACTTCTCAGTTTCATACAGCTTTCTATGTAACAATGACTGAGCCCATACTTGGGATGTGTTCTTGTGCTAATGTGTTAACCTGAGAGGACTTCGGGTGCACTAGTGATGAATGACACTAATTGCCTTCCAGTGTGAAGATGATATCTACCTGGCAGCTTAAGGAATACTAAATCACACAGTTAATTTCGCTAGAAGTCTCCTGGTGTCACATGAGGTAAAGACCCATCTACATTCTTGTTTTGATTTTTTGGTTTTTTTAACTTCTTCTCCAGGAATGCCTGCCTCTCATGCCTGAGTGTTGAGATGCCTCACTTGTGGTTCCTGTGTATGGGTAGCAGTTGCCGCACAGTTTAATGAGCTGTCATGGGCACTGTGGAGCTGTCCCTGCTCTGTAATGGAGCTGCTCTTTCATAAGTCAATGAATCACCTAATAAAGTAAAAATAGAACTTGATCAAGGAGCTTCAGCATCACCGTAATGTAACATCTCACTGACTGCAGTTATGGATGCCTGAAAGGCAATGATGTGTATCATTTCT